ATATCGGTCTATGAATTTTCTATGTATATTATCTATTTACAAAAATAAAATAGTAATGTCTAGTACCCATAACCCATAATACTGCTTACCATGGGACTAGATAACGCTGTGTTTATTGTCCAGGGAAAAAATACTATTGTAATTTGACATAGAAAATGTTTGAAGTCACACAAAACAATGGTAGGTAGCAGCTTCAATAATAAATAGGTACGTACAGCTAAATCCCGAAATGAACATGCATCAACACAATGTAACGAAACAATTTGCATGAAAAAAACGGCGGGATCCATGATTTTTATTCGGATTTAATGGCGTTATAAATCAGAGTGATAAAAGTTTTATCTTGATGTCCCATATATATGAGACACGGGCCGTGACATATAGCTTTTTGATTGCGTTACGTTTTTATTTTTTTCAGTGTCGTCTCCCAGGGCCGATGAGAGAAGTTTACTGAGAGCGGTAGACATTTACGATTATTTGTTTTAATATTATTAATAACTATAACAAAAGCCATGTTTATTTATTTATTCTTTACTAGCCGTGCCCGCGGTTTGACTGCGGGAAATGTTATATTGTGATGTATAAGCTAAAGTTTTATCAAAATCCGTTCAGCAGTTTTACGTGAAAGAGTAACATCCATCCATAGTCACAAATTTTCGCGTTTATAATATTAATAAGATTTATTCTTTATTGAACAAAAAAAAACTTGTTCAACAGACGAGCTTTGTGCCGTATGGCATTCTCTCGTAGATATAATCAGAAAGCGTTGTGGGGTAACGAGAACTGTGACAAATTTACTAATATACATATGTTGGCGTCTTTATTAGTTTTGCTATTGGTGTTTTTATCAGTATGACTTGTGGCCTCGGTGGCGTAGCGGTTTAGTAAACCGGCTTACTTCGCGTCGCGGGTTCGATTCCTCACACTTTGTATTCATGAATATAATTGTTTGTATCGGTCTGGGTATTTTCTATGTATGTTACGTATGTATTTATAAAACATGAATCTATGTATTTATATTAATTGTATAGTATATAACACAAACGCTTCTTGGTTGGGAATTAGATGACGCTGAGTAAATTGTCCTGAGTTATTGTTATTATTAGTATGTTTTAATAGTTTAAATGTAAAAATTATAATGATGTTCGAAAGTTTGCGTGTTTGTTATTTAATCCTGCTCAAAAGGCTGTACGGGTTTGTTTAAAATTAAAATTTGTCCCAGATAGATTATTTTTGAATCTACTAAATGATCTAGAACAATTTACATGCGATATTTTTTTTATCGTAATTCCAGGCAATATATATAATTGCAGGCATAATCGCAGGATGCAGGCAGTATTAAATAATATGTGTAGAATTAGCTAATAAATAACGTTGAACTTCCTATATATAAAGCCATAGACTGACATACTATTTATGGGCCTCTGATAGAATTATAATGTTGCCTACTACCATTAACAGAAAGTCGAGGTAGTAGAGTAGTGTACATATAATTTATATTTAATAAATTTTATATGTAATTATATTTATAATAAAAATAAAAGCATTTGATTCCTGCATAACCATATTGTGGAAGCACTTTTCTGCAATTTTCCCAGGAGTTTTCTCGCGAGACTACAGCATGGAGTTTTTCAAGAAGATATATTAAAGTTTCTTAAAGATCGGCGACATGGATGTCTGGGCTGTTTATTTTTATAGTATAATTTTTTTTAAATGATTAAATAGTTGTCTAGTACCCACAGTACAAAAAACTGTACATAATATTTGTTATCTGTCCTCTATATTCTGTTAAAGGAGACAATGGAACGACGGCTAGCATTGTTCTCAAAGTTTTAGGGAAGTAGATCACACGGGACAAATAGTTTGTTTGAGGAAGTCCAACTTTGAGAAAGAGATCGATCGATGGCTCCAAATCAACTAACTGCGCCCGAAGTCTGTCTATTATATATTATGTGTATTTAATGAGAACTTCTTAATTATAATTCATCAATTTGCCAATTTTCTGCTCACTTGTGTTATGAGAAATAAATATACGTAAAGACCATGGAATAAAAATAAATAAATATTACGAACTGATAAACGGCTTTACTAAAAATGGCTGTGGTTAATTCATATGCGGTCGAAATGAGAGTGACAGGTATATCAGCGAAATATTTCTACAATCTTCTAAAAGATCTTGGCCTGCCTAGAACTGCAGTAAGTTCTATACTAGAACGTGTATCTAAAGCTGCACTAGCAAGCTTCTACGAGATATGGCTGGGCGGGGAGAGAAACACGAATATATCACGAAATATAAAATTTAAGTTAGTTTTTAATTTCAAATTAACTGCTTTTTACTAAATGCATATGAAATTATATATATGTACGTACACATCAATAAATAATTTGAAATGTTTTGCTTATCTATCTGCTAATCTCTGATACGGTGATTTTGACGGGACTTTCACTTGCAGATAGCTAATAAATAAAGAATGATACTTTAATTTTAGAAATATTATTATTTGAATATGAAAAAAATAAATTATTCGCGGACGAAGTCGCGGGTAACAGTTAGTGTGATAAAATCGTCTATAGTTGTACTACAGAATAAATACATTATTTTCATCAAAATATCTGTTGCAAAACATGTTTGTAATATGTATTATGTAGGGTCCAGGTCTTCACAATGTCTTCATGATAACCTAAAACACTGTAAGCGTATCGTCCCACCACTGCGACTAATTCAGCGCGATCGTTCGCCGAGCCGTAAGTAGTTAACCAATAGTTTTGGCAAGGGCCTTACAGAGGAAACCATTCATATTGAGTAATGTTTCCTTGCTGCCCGTTTATTACTTACCTCCATTCTATTGGAAGACATTTGTACACCAAAGTAGCAACGGTTCGACGCCCGACAAAACGAATTATCTCTAACAGGCCTGTTTTTTCCTCTTTCCTTTAAATAAACTTTTGCTGGCAAACTTTTTCGATGCTAATATTCAATCGATACAAACATTTTGGAGGGGAAAGAAGGATTTGTATGTGTATTTTATATTTTCCTTATGGAATTTACTGGATATAATATAGTTACGAGTATTTACCAAGTCAGTTTCTACATCTTCATGGGTATCTCTGTATTACCTATTTACGCGAACAAACTGCTTGCTTTTTAAGATAATAATAAACAAATAAAAATAATATCTCAGAATAATTAACACAGTGCCATCTAGTCCCATGGTAAATAGAGCTTGAGTTACGAGTACAAATGATATAAATACTCAGATTTATTTTGTAAATACATAGGTACATAATTTACATAGAAAGAAGAAAACACCTAGACCGATACTTGTATCGGTCTATGATTGCTTAGCAATCATACCCATCACAAATGTTTGTACAATACGAGGAATCGAACTCGCGACCATCGGAAGTAAAGCGCTGTGCTAAACCGTTAGATCACCAAAGACTCCATGGAACTCATACCATAAATGAATGGATGCATAAAATATATTTTTGTAATTGTATTGAGAAGCTACTTTAGTTATAACAACTGAATTTACCACGTGGCAGACGAATAAAGAATAATTCTACATACTCACCTTACCTTGCTCTACCTTTCGCACAATTGTACATCTGTATGAGATGGAGGTCATATGCATGAATTACATATGCGTATTAATCTGCCGGAAGGAATCTTTAGAATTACGGTATCCGTTTAGTTGCGTGGTTTAGCAGAACGAAGAAACAGTAGACGAATAAAAATACTATGTAAGTATATATATAGTAGAATAAAATATATATACTGAATAAATACACCCGTAAGAAACTGTTCATGTAGGAACAATATTGTGTCTTGTTTTTTCAGACAAAATTTCATGTATATACTATTGTTGATTTTTGGGGTGAACTTGTTTCAATTGAGGATAAAATAATAGTATATAATAGTAATAATATTTCCATACACAATTTTTCAGTATTCCTTAGCATTTCGTTATGTCATGGCACAGATTTTAATATTTTGCTGAATATTTTTGGCTGGATCGCCCGATCATATTATGTAGGATAAAACTTACTAATAGCTATATATATAAGGTTATGACCACATGGCTTAATTATAATTACTATTATTTTGATGAAAGTACTGTATATATATTTAGTAAATAGATCTTAAGTTGAAATTTCAAACAAACACTACAATTTTATTTATTTGTATAGTTAATGAAACGACAAAAAATAAAGAATTTACGAAATTAATTCATCGCTTTAAGAGGTATTTCTCTCAGCTTTCCGCTATATTATGTTGACCCATATTAAACAATATATTCCTTTAGCCGTTTTACGTAAAACCTTCTTAATATACAGACAAACAAATAAGCAGTAAGTTATTGCCTCGTCATGACTTTACGATTAAATTATACATATATGCAAAGATATGTAACGATTAAACCTGCATGTTTCGAATGTATATAGTCTACTTGCCCAGTATCTTGAAAACTTTTTCTTGGTTCTTTTACAGTATTAAGTATTTTAAGTTAATAATGTAAAACTAGTTTCATATGCCACCTAGTTTAAAACTAAGCAGAATCGGTATTAAATGCAAAGGTAGTTTGTAAGATCTAAAAAAATGAGTTCAGTTAACTGTTGATAAAATGCAAAAGTAAAACAAATCATTTTGTAACTAGACTAACAGTAGATTTTATTACGTTCATAAAGTTCTACAATTGTTACAGTTTTTCTCATATACCTTTCTGTTACTTACAATAATTAAATACCATGTTAAATTAAGTCTCTATTGAATAACCTGAATAAAGCCATGATAGGCAGAATTTTAAAATAATTAAAACAATTTTTGAATAATTATACATTTTGATACAGAAAACAGTTCCTATTCGTATATAAAGCGTACCTTGACCGTGCACTAATCGTAACGTGGTATGTACCCAGTGTTTCACGTAATAGCAGGCATTGCTCTAATGGAATAAACGCCTGCTTATTGCAAGGTTGTGACGCTCCGACCGCGCCAGTCCTGCGGGCTCCGCACTCCATCTAGCTCACACTACGCCCAGCCAATTGCGTTTAATGATACCACTCGAACGCGTATCCGTCCAATCAACTCTTAAGACAACAGGATCTTTCAGTCTGCTCTCTGGCTTGCGACACTATTGTCCTGCCAGTGTCCTGTTCACTAGAGTCGTGGGAATTGTGCAGTGTCGTAAACAATCCGGTGCGATGCTATCCAGTGATATTCACAGGAGAAAAACGTCTAGCCACACTAAATGACTTTACGATGGATACTCGGAGAACATTCAGCAAATAAGAATCATATTAAAGATGATTGATTGAACTTTAATAGTGCTCTAACGATTTAGGACAACATGAACGGTATCAGCACGTCGGTTGAGAAGCCAACGGATGGGGAGTTACGAGCAAAAGATGAGGCGAAACCTAAGAAATCGGGCGTTCTGCAGAAGTTGCTGCTGATCAAGTCAAATATAACCGTTGAACCGATTATTGCGTGTTATATAATGTCAAATGTGTTCTCGGGATTGGCAGTTCAGAATTTAAATTTGGAAAAAGCATGTCGAGTCAATTTGGGATATAGCGATGAAGTTTGTTCCGCTTTAAACAGGCGGCAGACAGAGAATTACACGACAGAAGAAGCCGAAGTCCAAAAGTTGACTGCGTCAGTACAAGCTTGGAAGAACATCGTCCAAACGGCATTTCCGTGTATACTGGTCTTATTTGTAGGCTCATGGAGTGATAAAACCGGGAAAAGAAAAGCGTGTATACTGCTACCGATCGTAGGGGAAGTGTTGTGTTGTACGAGCTTCATTCTAAACACATATTTCTTCTACGAATTGCCTCTGGAGGTCACGGCCCTCTCAGACCTATTTCCGTCGTTAACTGGAGGATGGATAACTGTATGCGTTGGTGTATTCAGTTATATAGGTGACGTAACAACAAAAGAAATGAGGACATTCAGAGTGGGAGTAGCCAATTTGTGTATGTCCCTTGGAATACCCATAGGAATGTCTTTGAGTGGTATATTACTGCAAAAAATTGGGTATTACGGTATATTTTTAATATCGAATTGCTTGTACTTCACCAGTTTAATATATGGATATATAAGATTGAAAGATCCAGTTATCTCCCAGGAGAGACAACGAGTAAGTTATATATTTAACATCTCTACTTATCATGACTTCTTTCTAATTACAGCAGTTCAGTCTTTAAATTTGTTATATATAGTAATTCCTACTTCTACATATTGGTCACCATTGTGCAAAATCATTAGTATGGGCAGCTTATAGCTCATCTGTTTCCACCCCCAACCACAATGCTTTGTGTTCTTTATTCAATGGGAGGTGTCATATTTCTTGTAAAACCTGTGTAGTTGTTCATATCTATAAGCAATAGTTACCACTTTTCATTAGATGAACTAGCAGCTTGATTGCCATTGTCACTATATTAAAAGAAAACGGAGTTTATACGTTTTAGGTAGGTATCACTCTTTGCTACGCGAATTAGATAAAGTCATGGAACCTTTGTGCCTTCTTGAGGTGCTATTTGTTAGTGATTTGTGTAAGCATTATTTAATTCTTCTATGATAGAAATAAACATGGTAGTAATATTTTATAGTGAAATACGATGGTAAAATACGACACGGAGCAAGTGGGTAAAGGATTAATAGACATCAGTGATTTCTTTGTTACCATTATACTCTGTCCACTCTCTGTCTGACCTCCATTCTGTCCTTCCTGGAAACTATTGGGGTTTATTGCTGGTAAAGCCATTGTGCGCTAAGTAAGCCGATTTCAGTTTTCTTTGGTGTCCTACATTACCATTCAGCAGCTACATAAGAAATCTTAGTAAATAATTCAGATCCGAATTTAGATATTTCTTACTAATTTAATCTCAGAATAACAATCATTATAATTTACGGCTTTGCACGGATTCTTCAATCAATTTTTATAGAACTTCGGTAAATTATGCATTTACACATTCCTTAGGATTTTTTCTATTGCGAAATGAAAACCGCATAAAGATCCGTCGAGCAGCTTTTGAGATAATAGCGAATACAGAGACGCGGCGCGGACTTTGTTTTATAATATGTATAGTTATATTAAAGGATATATTAACATATCCAGTACTAGTACTGTTCTATAGCTAAGTGATAAATTACAGCAGCCAGCAGGCAAATTTGAAGGGGGACATCGTATTGCAATCAGTGGTTTACTCGAGGCTCGAATAGGTGCGATTTATTCCGGTGATCACTCACAGGATTTTATACCTTCAATATTGGTTTACTGATGTCTAACTAACGTTCTCTCTCTATAAACATATAATCTTACTATATTACGAACGCGGAAGTTTGTGAGTGGATGAATGGATTTGATTATCTTTCACGCAAAAATGATTGAATTTAATGAAACTTTACAATAATATAGCTCATACATCAGAATTACATATAGGCTCTAAATTTCACGCGTGTGAAACCGCAGGTCAGCTAATAAGTAATAATAATAATAACGCAGGTCAATTTACACAGCGCCATCTAGTCCCATGCTAATCAGAATTTATATCAGAATATATATAAATACTTATATACATTTTTTTGTATATACATAGGAAATATCCAGACTAATACAAACAATTATACTTATGACACCAAATGTTTTAACTACTGTACGTGGATCGAACCCGCGACCATCAGACGTAAGGCGATGTGCTAAACCGCTAAACCACTGAAGCCATTAGTACAGACGTACCTACATATAGGTGTATTTGTTACGGGCGGATTCTCAGATTTCATTCGCGTGGATATTTACAAATTTAGTTATAGTGATGACTATTATATTGAATGTTTGTGCAAAATTTCGTTTCAGCTAAATGTTGATTAGTTGCTGTTTTAACGTAACGTTTAAATATAAGGTTGTTTTAACTTGTTCATTCAACATAACATGTATATACATTTATTCGTGTGATATCTACCTGTTGATTGATGGGTATACAATTATCTGATTTCATTATCGTCACAAATATTAAGTGTATACATATTAAACTTCATGACACTTAAACATTTTGTGACCAACTACCCCCACATTCATATTTATCATATTAGTAAGGGATTATGTAGATTACTATGATTACTCTATATGCAAATTTTAAACAGACCATTTTCATACAAATCGTTTATACATAATTATGAAATGAATAATAGAAAATGTTACAATTTAATTATATAGTTACACGAATCTATGTACTATGACTATAAAAGTATTCAAAAATGCTTAAATTAAGTTTATATGAATAACGGATTTATTATTCTATTCTCTAGTACCCAGAACACAAGCTCTGCTTAGCTTGGGACTAGGCGTGTGTGAATTGTCCTGAGATATGAAAAATATATATATATGTATATATATATATATATATGTATTATTTATATGTATATATTGCATACTAAGATACAAATAAAATTCTTATCTATCTTTTTTATACTACATAGGTGGCAAAAAATAATACGACTCATCCGATGGTAAACGGTTACCGAAGCCTATGGACACCAAAACACCAGGAGTGTCACGTGCGCGTTGCCGAGCCCTGAAGAAACTTAATAAACCCTTCTTGAAAACCCATGCTGTAGTCTCTCGAGAAAACTTCTATCTATGTACATATATTTTTTTTGACAATAATAATAATAGTTATACTTTTTATGAACGAATAACGGAATAGGCTAATGATTCCTAATAGTTAAGAATTTTCTTTGTATCATAGCACGCATATATTTGTTCAATTACAATCACTATAGATTATGGAATATTTAGAAGAATACGATTGAATATGGAAAAACCTGTATGTTATGCCATAGAGAAAATCGATAACTTCCTATTCACGGAAGGTAGACTGTAGACTGTAAACAGTCGCTTATGTGTGTAGCTTAGTCTTACTTTAGCCGCCAAGCAGCTTGCTTTATAATCTGTATCGGTTATAGAGTGTGAGAGGCAGTAAAATTACAAGATAACAGGAATCATATATTAATTCTCTATATTTGATAATACATGAGTAGTATCACATAATGAAGTGATGTGCGTATTGCTGTTCATATGCGACGGAAGATCTGTTATAGCTCGGCCGTCGGCTTATAGAACAATGTAAGATTATTAATTTGTTACTTTGAGTAGTATATTTTACTTCATATTGGGGACTTTAGGCACTAGCAATCACTACAATATTTATTGCTGTCTTTCCACGATACATTCCTTTATGAGGGATCTGAAGTGCGCGCGATTTAGCGCGGGAAAGTTAACGCGCACAAAAGTGTGTAATCGCCTTTTACAATTTATGTGATCATTCTTTCGCGCGCGATAGTGCATATGTTTCAAGTCATTTCATTTTGTAATATTAATTCATTATTATGAAAAGGAGCTAAAACACTCACGATTGAAGAACGCGGGAATGTGCGAGCTGGCGGCGCTAGGGGTCTTTCTCAATCTCCTTGTCTACATTTAAATACACCTTCTTTCCTTCGTGAAACCCGATTCCAGCGTATTAGTGTGGACGTGTAAAGGTTTATTGTCCTTGTTAAACCTTTGAATACATTTTATAAATGTTACTTTTCAATTTATTGTAGGGTATAGAAAATAAACAGTCAAATCAATGATGACGCCCTAAAAACGGCTAAGGTGATTTCTATTGTGTACAAATTACTACGTGTGTGTTATAATAATAGAATTTGAGAGTTTGACTAAGAATAGAACATAGTAATTGATCAAGGTGAATACATCCTCTTTGTTGATTAGTAGGCAGGTCAACACTTCTGGAAACATCTATGAATTTTGTGATCAAAGGCCCTTTGTGTACATCCGATTACGCAAACTAGAACTTTATGCTTGGGCAGAGACGGAGCTGCACATTACCATTGCATTATAGCCTTAAAACTAATTATTGGAGATCATCGCAGTATTTCTTCTTCTACTGATTCTTATCAATTGTTATGATGGTAGAGGAGAACAAATAATGAGATCATCTTGCTCACATTTCATATTTCCGGTCTTCTATTGTTCTTTTCCTCTTTATTTATCTATATTTATATACAACAGACAACTACAATAACTATATTTGTTTAATAACAATTCCGAAATCCCTTGACGTAAGGGTGATAAAAGATATTCCTAAGCGTCTCAGAAAAAATATTTGAAAAAAAATATCATATGCATATTTTTGAGTAGCACTCTAAGTTGTCGGATATTTTAAACGCGTCGGTGTTAGCTTGGATATGATTTAAGAATTGACTTATAATATTACTAGCTACTCTCCCTGGCTTAGCACGAGTGTACATGTATTATATATATAAACGTGCCTCTTGAATCACTCTCGGATTTTGAAGCGGTTTTTTTTAATAGATATTAAAAAAAACCGTTGCAAAATCCGTTGCGTAGTTTTAAAGATTTAAGCGTACATAGGGACGGACAGACAGCAACAGCAACTTATACTACGTAATGATGACTTATAAATTAATTGGTTATCCGTGAAAAAAAGAATTAAAAAAAAAGTAACTAGACAACGAAATAAATCAAATTGAAGATGTTTTTTTTTGATAAAAATAACATTTTAATATTGAAACAAATTAGTCTATTTAATATTAAAATTCTAATTACTAAATAGAATTGTAATTAATTAACAAAAGTCCTTTCAAAACCAGCACTTTTAAATAAACTCATAGTATTTTTAAATAAATTTTCTCATAAAATATTCAACTCTCACTGTGGGTATTTGTAAAATCGTAATTAAATTTTTGGACCTTTCTAATTGAGTTACCAGTTTTCCAACTACTGTAATAATTTATTTATGTCGACGCGATCGTAGTTCACGTATGCTTAGCATTAATGTTACCATAAACAGATTAACTAGATCGACAATTAAGTTCTAGGTAGAGTCAAATTCTCTAATTAGAGGGAGTTTCTTTTCTGTCTCTGGTACATACAGAGTTAGTTTTAAAGGAGATATACCAAAATCTACGTAGAATACTCTTGAATACTCTATATACTCTAGAATATTCTCTGTCTCTTGTATACTCTAGAATACTCTTTTTCTTCACCAAGAAACAAAGTTGTCCACTTTGAAATTTTCATTGTAAATTTATCACGTGTGATGGCTAACGGCC